TGTGGGTACTTCATCAGTAGAGGCTTTTAAAAAGAGACTAGACAGTCACTTGTCTGAAATGGTATAGGGCCACGATGGTGAACCTATGGCACGCGTGCCACCTGTGGCACGCGGAGCCATATTGGTGGGCATGCAAGCTCAGCTCCAGCGCGCATGCACGCGCTGGCCAGCTGATTTTCAGGTCTTTTGGGCCTACTGGAAGTTGGGAAACAGGCTGTTTCTGGCCTCTGTAGGGCCCCCGGGGGGTGGGGAAGGCCGTTTTCACCTTCCACAGGCTCCTAGAAAGCCTCTGGAGCCTGGGGAGGGCAAAAAACAGGCCTACCGGGCCCACCGTGCCATCATGTGCCAAAAGCGGGGGGAGCACGCAGGGGGTCACACACAGGGGGGGGCACATAGAATTATGGGTGTGGGCACGCACACACATGACCTCTCCGCACTCCCCCCACTTTTGGCACGTGATGGCAACAAGGTTAGCCATCACTGGTATAGGTTTCCTACTTGAGCAGGAAGCTGAACTTGAAGATCTCCAAAGTCCCTTCCAGTTCTATTCTATGTCTATTTATATGATAAAATTGAAAAAGATCAATACCAACATTAGAATAAGAATGTCATAATGTACATGAAAGCAATACATTTGGTGATTGCTCGTTAGCCAGATGTTTTTCCATAACTTTAAAAAAAAGGTGGCATTAAGAGCAGCCTAATCCATTTTATTTATTGAAAGTGAAATAGAAGCCCATCTGAAGCACTATATGAGCTAAGTCATCAACAAAACAGGGTCCTTCCGTTAAATTTAATTCCTTCAGCTTGGACAAAGGGCAACTTGGTCTGTAATCAACCTTAAAGCTTAAACAAGAATGTCTTTTCCTCTTCTTTCTCAGTATGATTTGACTGTCAGCAGCTCCCATAGTCCTAGATCCGTCATATGTTCTGAATTAAAAAAAAATGTATTGAGAAGATTGGATGCGATTCAAGTCTGTGTTTTGGGTATTCCCATCTTGTTCCACAAGTGTCTCCATTTTTCTCACTGACAAATGAAGTTATAACACACATAATGCAGTAAATGCAGAAGACAAAATTGCCCCCAAGTAATGTGAGTAGAAGAATTGTACCTATCCATTTTTACTACTGGTATAATCAAATTTAGTGTAAAGAATGCCCATTCTTTTCAGGAGTACAAAAGATCAGATACAATGCACCTTGTCCATTACAAACAATTGTCCACATTTAGAATTGGTCTGCAGCTGCCAGATCAATTAAAACCCCTGTATAAAAACACTGAAGCCATTTGTCATCAACCATACGAAGTACTGGAACAGGGGGATTGCTAACTTTTCATTTGGTCTTATTAGCTATATCTTTAAGAATGTTCTAATATACAGCTATTAGCAGATTTTATTTGACACGTTATCTCACCTTTCATTTAGGAGCGCAAAATGACATCTTACAACTGGGTGTTCTCGTCTTGATCCATTCAATTTTATTTATTTTTTTTAAAAACCAAAATAATTTTTAAATGAGGGGTTATATCGCTATACAGTTCAGTATCAGCTTCCAGTGTCATCTTTATTACCAACAATATTTTATGTTGTTGCACAAAGAAAAATTGAGCAAGAAAATATTTGAGAATGTTTTAATGGTATTTTGAGTAATGCTCAGAATAGGGCTTAGCTTGAAACAATAGTATAAAACTCACAAATTAACTATCTTATACGAGAAACAGAATTCTCTTGCAACAAAGTTAATTATTTAAAAAATTAGCAATTGTTGCTGAAGGTCTGTCTAATATCATTCTTGGGGATAGGCGTAAAGAGGCACAGAGCAATTAATACTCCATGAACATATACTATTATACCTACAGTAGCGGCCAAACTTGTGGAAACCTTTTGGGAAAAGTGTATTTTTGAAGTTTGATGGCTAATAACACCACTTTTTTTCGGAGTTTCAAGATAATTCGCTGCTGGAATGGCCTGGGAATAGCCCAGACGTTAACTCAATTGAAAATCTATGGAGCCGACAAGGGATGGGTTCTACTTACCTTTACTACCGGTTTGCATCGCGCCCGTGCGCTCTTCTGCACATGCACAGATAACCTATGATAACATCCGGGTCAGTGGGCAGAGCCTCCCACTGGTTTTACTACCGGTTCTTGCGAACTGGTCCGAACCGGGGGCAACCCACCACTGGAGCCGACTAAAGAAACTTGTCAGTCAGAAGCGACCCAGCAATAAAACCCAGTTAATAGAAGCAATCATGCAATCTTGGCTTCACATTATAACAGCTGCAGAACTAAAAGACTTGGCTCACTCCATGGGAAGACGTTGTAAGGCCGTAATTCATGCTAAAGGTTACCCAACGAAGCATGATAATTTTTGTATATCTCGTTTTTTCTACGTTTTTACCTTTCTTATTTATACTGTAACTGCTATTCTAATAGCAAATCCATCATAAAAGTTATTGCATTACATTCTTGATTAAATTATTTTTCCATTGATATACAATTTTATGGTACTACTGCCAAAAAAAGTGGTGTTATTAGCTAGTTTTAGAAAATACACCTTTCCCAAAAGGTTTCCAGAATTTTGGCCACTACAGTATAACTATGCCCACAAAAACTGAATGATTAAAGATGGAGGAACTCAACTGCAAAATGCAGCAGAAGACTTTAAATGATAGGAAAAACAATAAAAAAGAATATTTTAATAATAAATGTAGATAAATCTTTTCATCACTTTTACATATCTAGTTAAAGAACGTGTCTGAATATTTTGATAACTACTCCAACAGGTTACCACCAGATATGTTGGACTAGTTTTCATCAATCCAAACCAAAAGAGCCAATAGCAGGATTTGATTGCTGTTAAGTGGGTACATTGCTGTGCCTTGAAGATGTTGACTAGGATTGGGGAGATCCAGTTTCTAATCCGCCTTCACCCACAGAAGCTCACTTTGACCAGTCACTCTACCTAACCTAACCCAGAACTGTTGTGGTGAAAAGCTGGAGAAGAAAATGTCATATATGTTGTCTTGAAATATTGGAAGAAATCAGTGGTTGGATTCAAGTAATTTAACAACTGGTTCTCTGCCCTAATGATTTCTTCCAACAACCAGTTTGCCAAACTACTCAGAAAGTTAACAACTGGTTCTTCCAAAGTGGTGTGAACTGGCTGAATCCCACCACTGGAAGAAATGCTGGATCGCTCCCTCAGCCTCCCTCTCTCTCACACACACACACACATACTTTCCAAGACTCTGTGATACTGCTGGTATGTTGCCACAAAAGCAATGCAACACTCTTGCAATGCCTTAACAACAAAATACATTTATTATTACAATAGAACAGTTCATTTTATGCATGGAATAGAGCCCTAAGAAAAGAGTATTAAAGTCGGTAGTTTGAGAGAAAGGAAGCAGGGATACATAAAGAGAAGTCAGACTTAGCTGTTAAATGTCTACTGAAATAGTTAGAGCACCTCCTGGTGGTTAGAAAATGTCTCTGAAAAAGACAATACAGAGGCTGTTGTATGCTTCATTGTTCCATTCTAATGAGTGACTAGGCTTTAATACAAAAAGTTCAGGGAAACCAGTGTATATTTGCAGTGCTTTGAAAGATGAATCTTATATTAAGTCTTAGCAAAATATGCCGAGTGAGAGATTTCAAACCTAATGGAAGCTATTTTTGATTTTGCAAATCAAATGGTTTGAAAGCCAAAGTTCACCTACCTCACCTCTCTTTTTCTTAAAAAACTGCAACATGCTTCAGAATCCATTGCATTGGCTTTAGAAATTATATGAAACTGAACTCATCTAAATCCTCACTTTGCTTTCAGTTTTGGACCGAGTAACTGGATATTGCCAATAAAGGCAAATATTTGTTGCTCAAGGTTAAAATGGAGGGTTCTTGGTGCTCTCTGAGTTGGTTGTTTTCTTGCAGACTTTCATTACCTAGGTAACACAATCAGTGCTAGTAAGGAATGGGGTTTGTGCTACATTAAAGTGGATATTATTGAGTTGGCCTAGAGATGGATAAAAAAATAGTCTTGGCAAAGATTGGATGAGTATGATGAACTAACATAATGTGGTTCTGATTCATAAACTGCATCTTTGCTTGTGATCAATTAATCAGCTATTTTATGATAGAAGAACCCCAATCTGTGAAAGTACAGCCAAATGCAGCACCCTTCCGAGTGTATACAACAGTATACGCTCTTTTTTCTACTAGTGGTAAATCTCCCATCCGCTGTTTTCTACTTTCACTATTTGGTGCATCTCCCATCCACTGTTTCCATGAATCCAAAAATAATTGCGCTGGGTGTTTCTAGGTAACACTAGCCTGATCACAGCACACATCCAGAAGCCGTGGGCAATCAGTTCATAATCACAATGATGCTGAAAGTCAAACCAAGGTAAGTCACGGCATGAATCCTGTCCTCTCTTACTTGCATTGCAAAATTGCACACAAGGACATGGGCAGCGGGTGGGCAGAGTTTGCATCATGTTATTGCAACACACTTGGCCATTTCCTTCCCTTCTCCACAGATACCTAGACTGGAATGTTTGTTTGTTTGTAACATTTGCATAGCTGCCCATCTTAAAGGCAAACACCAGGTGGCTTACAGTTCTCCTATGCAAATGGAGAAGCCACACTTCCAAGACTTGTTCTGACTATTTCTAATTGCAGGTGACTAGTGGGACTGCTCTACACACACTGAGGAAAGATCTGCCTGATGAGAACTTTCTCTCCAATGCAAAGAAAGGATGAAAGCGTGAGCATGTTTAACCAGTGGTTGAAGAAGTCTATCATAATCTCAAGAGATACAGGACTTGCTGTTAGAAGCTGAATAACGAGGAGAAATCAATATTACGTATTTACTATAGCTTAAATCTCCACTAAAATACACAAATATACGTAAACAAAATTGTAGGACAGAAGAAATCAATAAAGAAAAAAAATGTAAGGACTTCCTTGCATAAATTCCCATAAAGAAAAAGTAGTATCATTTGAAGCAGAATTTCCTTTATTCCCCAAAATAACAGGAAGTTTTCATAATTTATAATGCAGCTACTATTAGTTTCCATTAATGTTGGCTGTAATATTAGTGGATAATGTGTTAGATTTATTATTAATGGCATCAGTGAATTAAATGACGAACATTTAACACCCCAACTTTCATCAATATGTTTTCTCTCGGATACCCAATACCCTTCAACATCACTTGGGAGTTTTGCTTGATGTTTTATTAATTCCCTTAGTACTATAACTTTTCGGGTGACCCTGAAATGTTTTTTTTTTTTGTGGATGATGTAGTCAAAGACCTTGTGTAGACAAGGAGCTTTAAGAATGAGACCATCACACTGACACCTCAACTTGTGTCTAAATCAGCAAGAGATGGATGAGTCTTCTACATTAAATTTTACAAAACTATATGAAATATCAGGTTAGATCCTAGACAATACAAGGAAAGCAAAAGCAGATATTGTCATGTACAGTAGCCAAAATTGTGGAAATCTTTTGGGAAAAGTGTATTTTTGAGGTTTGATGGCTAATAACACCACTTTTTTTTTTTTTTTTTTTTGGAGTTTCAAGATAATCATATTCCGCTGCTGGAATGGCCTGGGAATAGCCCAAACCTTAACCAAATGAAAATCTATGGAGCCAACTAAAGAAACTTGTTAGTCAGAAGCGACCCAGCAATAAAACCCAGTTAATAGAAGCAATCATTCAATCTTGGTTTCACATTATAACAGCTGCAGAACCAAAAGACTTGGCTCACTCCATGGGAAGACTTTGTAAGGCCGTAATTCATGCTAAAGGTTACCCAACGAAGTATTAACTGCCTTAATAATTTTTGTATATCTCATTTTTTCTATGGTGATAATTTTTGTATATCTCATTTTTTCTATGTATTTCACTTTTCTTCTTTACACTGTAACTTAAAAGATATTGCATTACATTCTTGATTAAATTATCTTTCCATTGATGTATAATTTTATGGTACTACTGCAAAAAAAAAAAGTGTTGTTATTAGCTAGTTTTAGAAAATACACTTTTCCCAAAAGGTTTCCACAATTTTGGCTACTACTGTATGATGTTCAATATACAATCAAAACATTTATTACAATTAGGGAGGGGACGTCTCAGAGCATTTTATACATCCTCTGTAAAGCAAAGCATGGCACTAAAAATGGACTGAGGACAGGTATTGGTTGACATTTTATTGGGGGAAAGCAGCAATAATCATACATATTAGTTGAAGTAAATTGCCACATTAATCATTTTAATAGCTTACAAATTTTAGCAGCTAAACTATCCTATTGAACGAAGAATCCAAGCTCCTTCCTGAGCCAAATATAATAAATGTTATTGGTTATCTAATTAAAGTCATAGATTAGTACTCATTATGAAATGGAACTAGACAAAAATATGGTAAAGCCAAACAGAAGTTAAAGAAGGGAGGGGGGCTCCTCCCACTTTTCAAGCATTTTGGAGTTCATTTTACTTGAATACAAAATTGTTGAAATCACACATTTCTATAGGGTGTTAAGAAGAAAACTAAAATAATTTTAAAAACTTTAATGTGCGTCTTCAATAGGGATTCTTCATCTCATAATTCACCAAAATATGCTAATTGAATAATATATGGATTTATATTTTAGGGAACCATCCAAATAAAATAGTGTCTCACTCATTGCTTTTCAATCTGTTTAATCTGCAGACTCAACTACCTTAAGGCTGTAGTTTTATACATCTCCTGTCCTGATCATGGGAAAACACTCTAGTCCACATAAACCTTAGCCCCTGAAAAATGTCCTCTGAAAATCTGAAGCTCATTGTAGGAAAGGTCTTAATATCACAGGATATCTGCAGGAAGGAAGACAAGTGACATTGTGCATACTATGACACAAAATGATGCCAAAATGTGACATCGTAACACAATTTGACATGATGTACGTCCTCTATCAAACACATATGCTTAAACAGACATAAAAAGAGAAACATTTCCAATCTACTACCGGATTTCCCAATACTGCAGAGATTTAGACTAACTCTCAATGAAGAGAAAACCCAGAATGAAGATGGTTTGTTTTTCAGGGCTGTTGCCTGCACCTGGTGAGTTGGAGAGTACTAAGTTTATTTCACTTTGAGCACTCCAATCGCATCATTTTTTTTGCAGAAGCATGCTCTTTTTAGAACCCAATTCAATTTTTAAAAAATCTGTTAGGTTGCTTATTATTTGCAGCATTATTCCCACAACAAAAATAAACCAATTATAAAAGTACCACAATGTATTTTTGAGAAGGTAGCAGGCATTGAAGTTTAAGTTTTAGCAAATTTCTGAACCTCTTCATCCCAGTCAAAGTCTAACAGTGCATCGTCCAGATCAGTTACCGAGAACAATGATTTCCCTGGAATTCTGTGAGCGTTTCCTAATTCAAAGCACTTCCGGGTAGGTTCTGCACAATCTTTCTGAGTCTTCAATGGCTGCCTTTCTCTCACTTTTTCATTAGTGGTGATATTCAAGGAAACTGGAGATTCGTCTGATGGTGTAAAGGCAAATTTTGCTAGCTTTGCTAAAGTGCTGGAGCACACTTTTCTTGAACCTTGATCATCCAAATTTTCTATTCTTGCCCCTGATGTATTTGTGACAGAAATGGCTGTGGCTTTAGCTGGCTTTGGCTTGTCTTCCTCTTTCTTGTTTTTACAGGCTTGCTTCTCCTTGGCCGTATTTCCTGTGTTAAGACTGTAGCTTCCCTGATGTTTATCAGGATCTTCTTCCCTCAGATGTTCTCCTTTTGATGTACTTTGGGTAAAAAGGTCAGGGTTGTAAATAGTCTCCTGTAATGTGCGATGTTCCTCATTTTCAGGAGGCAGAGCAAGCTTAGGCTTTCGTTGAAAGGAAAATTTAGCAAACTTAGAAGGGGCAGCTTCTGAGTTCTCAGGGATGTCAGGTTCATTGCAATTTCTTACTTTGTTGGTCTGGTCTCTATTTCGCTTCCGATTTAAAGTTGTTGATGTCAAATGTCTTGAAGGCACATTGTGACACAGAGAAGCCCCAGTATCTTTTTCAGGACAATCTGGGATAATTGCAGGATGAGAAGATACTGAAGGTTGATGATGCTCAGTTTTGGAATCTGCTGTATTTGTACAAAATCTCCGTATGCTTTCAATATTTCTCTTCTGCCACTTCTTAGAGGCCCTTTGAGTAATGACTGAATTAGGTGTGTTAGGTGTAGCATCTGAACTTTTATGGATGGCCCCTGAAGTGGAATTTATAGGTTTTTGTATCCTCTCAAGGGCAAAAATAGTCTGTATACAAGAGTCCCCTTGGTCTTTTTTTGTCAATGATTCCCTCTTCTTGGTTTGCTCAGCTTCTCTTAAACAGTTGGTCTTTTTAGAAGATCTACTATTCATTGCTTCCAAATCCAGATTGTCCTGAGATGTTACTGCAACTGGAAAATTACAAGTGGCCTTCTCACTTTCCATGTTATCTTCTGCTATACTATCAAACCAGTTCAAGGTGTTATCACTGTTGCTCTCGTTAAGACTCTTCAATTTCTCTCTTACTTGGGCATCATTAGATACTTGTCTGGTTGGAAATCCCAGATCCGTATCAGCATCAGAACTTATTTTGGCTGACAAAGGCTGTAACTGAATATTATTTTCTTCTTTTTCTGAATGTTGGGAATGAATCCTCTGCTCTAATTCCCCGAATGTGTCATGACTTAAAGATACTCCTTTGCACTGCAGTGATGGGCTTAAATTTCCATTTTGTAAAAACCTAAGAAAATTAAAAGGAAAATATTTTTTGCCAAAATAAGTTGCATTTTTAGAAGCTTTGAAATATAGAAGTGATGTTTTTTATGGTTGCAAACATTAGTAAATACATGACTTTAGGAATTTGACTTAAAACAGACTAGATGATTTGCTTTTTGTGAATACAGGTAGTTCTCAATTTACGACTGTAATTGAGCTCAGATCTATGGTCATAAGTCATTGCATAAGTCACATGACCTGACCCAATTTTTTTTTTTGACATTTTTTGTAGTGGTGGTTAAGTGACTGCTGTAATCATTAAGCAAATGCTGCAGTTGTTAAATGAATCGATTTTCCTCAATGGGTATTCACATGACTGCAGAATACTGAAAACAGCCATAAAAATAACCTGGTTGCCAAGTGCCCAAAATGCAATCATGTGACTTTGTGGGTTGGAGTGTGGCCATTGTAACTTTAAATATGGGTCATAAGTAGCTGCGGGGAAATCCATCGTAACTTCAAACAGCTGTTAAGGAACCGGTCATAAGTTGATGACTACCTGTGAATAATATTCAAGCAAACCATTCTTCTTCAGTAGAATTCTGTGTTTATTTACTCAGGAATAAATGGAGTTTTTTCTGTCATATGTTTAGGACTGCAATCCTAGGTAGGTATTGATATTAGTTTTGCATATAAATAAACAAATAACAGAACGATTCTCTCTTATACTGTTAATTATTTTCATCCATATGCCTTCAAGACCCTGGCTTACAAGAAAATATTAATATTCATCACGTCACACATTGTCATAGCAGCAGACGTGTAATCTGATTTAAAGCTGATGTTTTTCCACCCGAATATAAATATTTTGCACCTGCCCAGCCTTCTTAATTCCTCCTGCAGAAGGTGTTGCAACTCCAGCTTCTTCAAGATTAGTTCACACTGCATTCTATATTGTTCCACCGGATTTTCAGGAAATGAAGTGTGGAGTGCATTGGCACCACCAAGAAGTGCACCTCCCTAAAATAAGACAAGAATTGTGATGCAGAAACTGTTTTCTGTGAAAACTTCTTAAATTAAATTTTTGTCTGAAATGGTATAGCGTTTCCTGCCTGAGCAGGGGGTTGGACTAAAATTCTTCCAAGGTGTCTACCAATTCTGTTATTCTGTTAAATTAAACATAGTAAACACTTGGTAAAGTTTGCAAGCATGGAGCAAAATGATGTTTTTCCAAAAAGCCTTAAGAGTTTGCATCCTTGGAACATTACGTAAGGCCTAGAAAATATTCACAACCTTTGGTTTCGATCTTAAATAAAGTAATCAATAAAAAGGAAGTTTTCAAGGAAAAACAATCCAAGAAAGTCCAATTGTCTTTTGAAAAGCATCTTTGGAATAACCATGACCTCCATGATTGAGAATCTCATAGACTTTTAATCAATAAAAAGCTTCCCATCCCATTCTGTTCCCGAGAAGCCTTAGGAAGACATGGGCCACTCCCGAACAAAATGGGATAGTACACAATTGATTATCTTGAGGAAAGAGGGACATTTCCATAAACTGAGGTTCTTAATTCATTAAAAGTTGAGACCTAGAAATCATGTTTAATGGCAGGAGCTGCTAAGAGGAAAGAACAGCTGGTATGTACTAGTTTTTTTTGTACTTGCCCATCCAGATTTGTCCCCATTTCAGAACAATCTAATCATTCTAGGTTTCAGTTTTACAAAACCATAGTTCATCCAAACACTTTTGCCACAAGATGCCTTATCCCATGTTTGAAACAACCTACTTTCCTCATTTTGAACACATATCTACAGATATCTACACATATCCTCGACTTATAATTCATTTAGAGACCGTTCAAAGTTACAACGCCACTGAAAAGTGACTTAAAACTGTTTTTCACACTGACGATCTTTGTAGCATCCCCATGACTATGTGATCAAAATTCAGATGCTTGGCAACTGGTTCATACTTATGACTGCTGCTGTATCCCAAGGTCATGTGATCCCCTTTTGCAACCTTCTGACAAGCAAAATCAATGGGGAAGTCAGATTCATTTAACAACCATGTTACTAACTTATCAACTGCAGTGATTCACTTAACAACAGTGGCAAGAAATGTTGTAAACTGGGGCAAAACTCACTTAACAAATGTCTCGCTTAACAATAGAAATTTTGAGCTTAATTATAAGTCGAGGACTATCTGTAGTTCTTTATAAAAGATGTACACAGGGCAGATTAAGGCCCCATGATCTCTTTTATATAGAAAAACCTCTTGAGCTTTGGATTTATCAACAGTGTCAATTTTATAATATTAAAATGAATCATAATAATTTCTTTTCCAGAGCCACATTAATTGAACTTACTCTTCCATAAGGCTTTTTTTCATACCATTTCTAGAACGTACATGCACACGTAATGCCATACTGTGAGCTCTTTGAGGTAGAGCACGTCAAGAAGCAGACTCCCCAATTCTAGCTGAAACTATGTTGATGTAGGCTATAGAAACAAAATCTTGAAGGTCAGACTCTAATGAATTTGGGAGGAATGAGACTTACCAGCTCACGCTGTATCCTGCCCTTAAATATGCTTTCAACTTTACCTTGCTTCTCCAAGGTCATTGCTTTGGCTCGCCACAAATAGTACTCATATTATATAAATATCACACAGTAATGTCTTGAAAAGTCATTTAAAACAGAACAGTATTGTGTATGCAGAAAAATGTATTGTCAAGGTACATGGATGTGACCCATTCCAATTTCCATAACTGACTATGAACAGGAGTGGACTTTTATGCAAAGTGACAAGACCCTGAAAGTGGAGAACATGGTGTTTGTTTGTTTTTTTTAAAAAAATATGTGCCTACAGTTTGTGGTTCCTTATATTATAGACAATTGTCTCTCTTACCTGTAGTATATATGCAAACTTACCTGCATAGAGGATTCCATCACTGAAACCACAGTTACTGCATCTTCCACAGTTACAATTTCCCTGAACATCAATCGAGCATGTGCTGAAAAACAGGTTTTAAAGAAAATCTATAAAAGTTGATGAGTAAATTGTTACAGAGAATAAACTAAATGCACATACACCTAAGTTTTATTAGGAACACCCTATACCTATTTCCTATTTTATCTAATCTAATCTATCTGGAATGTATTTACTAGCTTAATTTAGTCATAGGTATTCAATACTGCACAGCTGTTTCAGCTGTTTTTTAGACTTAAGTAATCAATGAAAGGACAATTTACTGATGTATTTAAAATCTTGTTCTCCTCTGGAATTGTTCTGTTATCCTGTTTTACTTTGTTTAATTTGTTATTTTCCCTTTTGCTATGCATGTAAGGTTTCAAAATGGGGTATATCATAAATAAGCGTACATATCTAATACAGTTATATATCTGTCACTTTATTTCTCTACCTATTAGAATCATCTTCCTACTTATTATAAGTATCTCTATTTCACATACACATACATCTTTTAATACTTATACCCCAAAACATCCGAGTCCACACTAAATGAAAAAAAGAGCTATGGTGGGGCAGTGGTTAGAATGCAGTATTGCAGGCTAATTTAGTTTACTGTCAGCAGTTCAATTCTCACCGGCTCAAGATTGACTTAGACTTCCAAGGTCGGTAAAATGAGGACCCAGATTGTTGGGGGGATATGCTGTAAACTGCTTAGAGAGGGCTGTAAAGTACTGTGAAGCGGTATATACATCTAAGTGCTATTGCTATATGTTGTCTTTTGATCAGGAGCTCCAGATGGTCTACATAACATTCTCTCCTTCCATTTTCCCAATGAGAACCACCCACCAACCAAGACATGGAGTAACAGATGGAAACTTAACAAAAGAGATGCAACCTAGAATTAAGGAGAAATTTCCTGTCAGTAAGAACAATTAATCAGTGGAAGAGTTTGCCTCAGCAGTTGTGGTGCTCCATCGCTGGAGGTTTTTAAAAGATTGGATAGTCATTTGTCCAGTATGGCATAGGGTCTCCATCTTGAGCAAGGGGTTGGACTAGAAGTCCTCCCAGGTCCCTTCCAACTCTGTTATTTTGTATTTTATAAACTTAAGCAAGTCAAAATTATTAATATCCCTAATTGTTTATAACTTCCAGGAAAAAAAAATCAGCCACAATTTCTAAGCTAGTATTATTTCAGAGTGTATGTATACATGAGTATATATGCACATACCCAGTGCAAAACAAAACAGCTATTTTTTCACTGATAACAATTGAGGATTGACAGTGAGAATTCCTTGGTTATATTCTGGGGTAATGCCATGTAACTCTATTCTGTTCCAAATTGCTGTATGATAACATGGTAACCCATTGCAGAAGCAGCAGAAGATTTTATGTAAGGTCATTGAATATATGTGACCAGATGTCTTTCAATGTAGAACACTGAAAGCTGCTCACAATAATTTCCTTTTTCCTTCTCTTTTTATTTTATTCTACTAATATAACTTTTTCTACTTTTCCTTTTATGCTTCTGTAGTTTTTAATCTTATGTAAAATCTTCTTTTAATAAAAAAATCTTACCCACACACACAGTCACACACATATACTGCTCATAGTGTGCTTCTCAGATAAACGAAGTACAAAGCATAATAAACAAAGTACAAAGTGTAATATCTCCTTATTCTATGTTTCAGCTCACACAATAAGTTGGAGATTTCTGCCTGGATTGAATTTTGCATGCATGAAGAAACTTTACATTTTTAAGCTATTTATATAGGGCAAGAATCCTTTGACATCTTAGCCCATGAAACACAGCGTCAAAACAAAGAAAGCTTTTTTGATGGCCTCTGGGGGTAGACAATAGCATTTGACTTTAGAAGTCAAATCTATCGAACTGGGTAAAATACTGACTGCAACATTTCTTTAATGTGTGTTTGTTAATCAATTCTGTGGAATGCAGCCATTGGAAAAGCAAGTGGGGAAGAAAGAGGTTTCACCTTCAGCGAGACGGATCAAGCTCTCTAATAAGCGGATGGTGGTTCGGGCTGCGTTCCGGCAATCGCTCTGCCGCTGCATCTGATAGTAGCGGACAAGGATCAGATGGCTTTCATCAGTCAGTATCGGCTGGAGATTCTTGATAAGGCAGAAGTAAGTTTTCATTTTTTCCATAGACCAGAGCTTTTCGGATATACTTGGGCAGCCTGAAAAAAAGAATTAAATAATAAAGCAACAATAACAATACTATATGCATAACAGCGTTGAAAAAAAAAAGTGTTCTAGGCTTAGAAGTGGTTTTCTGAGCAATCCAAAACCTAATCAACATTTAGTAATCATATTTCACAAACTTGAATTCCTCTCTTCAATGTAATATGCTTGGGTGGTTAAGTTTATCTCATTGGCTGAACTCTGACCCTTTGCTGGGCCTCCGCCTACTTAATTGTGGTTCACTGTGTGAGCCTCATTGGCTGGGTTCATACCTATCACTAAGACCTATATGTAGCTTATGAAATTACAATTCACATACCAGTGTCAAAACCCTATTATTGGGGGGGGGGGGGAGAACTGCTTAGCATAACAAGTCACCTTGGCTATTGTAATCCATTTTCCAATGGTCCCATGCTTTTTGTATTATTATTGCTCACACAGTCAGCCAAATATTTAGACTGGATTTAGCATTTGTATCCACTTATCGAGTCCTTCCCAAGGACATACGATAGGGAGATATTGTATAATATTATTAAAGGTATCATCACAGGATGCAGTTCCAAGTAAAACTGTCTTTTGCAATGGACTGATTGTGATTTCTGTTAATGCTGATGGTGTTGTAGTGGTGTTCCAGATGTTTTGGGATTGCACCCAAGGTGCCTATTACTATTTATACTATCTTTGTGTTCTTTTCCGCAGCCATTCTTCAATTTGCAGGTTGTTGTATTTTGTGATTTCCTCCCCAGTTCTTTCTTTTCTGTTCTGTTATCTCCAGGTATGTGATGTCTACCATCCAAACTTTTTGTCTTTCTTATCAACAATAGTTAAGGATGGAATGCTATGTGGCAGATGCTTGTCTATTTGAATTCTGAAGTCCCAGAGTATTTTAGCTTCTTTATTTCCTATTACTTGTCCATTTTGTAATTCTACCAGTTCTTGCTTGCAGGCAAATGGTGTTTCTTCCAATACACCATTGTTGCTATTTTTCATTATCTATTTCATTATACTTTATAGTAAGAGTTCAAAAAAATAAACAGAATGTGACAATACAAAACTAAAACGGTGAAAGAAATAATGAAATAGTAAAAACAATTTTTTCACTACAATCCCCCAAACAGAATTTTAAAAAAGGAGGGAAAACAAGAAAACAAGTGAATGTTTAAAAATACTAAACACTAAATACTAATCATCTAAATATATATATATTAAACATATAGATCTCACTAGTTTATGGAAAATATTTTACAGTATAATACCGTAGTATCAAAATAAAAGGAAAAATATTATTAGCGTTCTTTGCTCTGTTGCACACAGTAGCATCACCCTCATTAAAAGCTTGACCTATAACTGATAATCTTTCATCAGCTTGGTGTGACATAGTAAGTCCAAGGTTTAGTGTTGGAGAGGTCTTTCTTTTCATTTTGTGTAAGGGGATTGGGCAAAATGTTGATAGGCATTTTGAACACTGAGTAATAATACATGACCGATATGAAAATAAGTGGAAGGCAGGCTGCACAACTAGAACAACTGCACAACATGACAGTAAATGTGTGAGTGAAGTAGAAAGAAGTTTTGGTAAGGAACTGTTCAAGCAATTTTAGTGAGAAGTCTTGCAAATTTCCAGATGTTGTTGGCACAAATAAGATAACACTGATTTCTTTTTTCTTTTTGCAGAACATGAATTTTTAAACAAATTCACAATACAGTAGTAACTTTATACCAAGTGAATTCACATAAGGCAAGGGAAACCCATATTTGTGCATAAAAGTGTATTATGATCAGTGACAAATTGATTCATATAATTCCATAAAAAGTAATATAAAAAGGCTACCTTTATTTTCCAGTATGAAGGATGAAATTATGTGATCCCATTCTTCATTTTTTGTATCCAACAATACCAAGACAAGATCAAACCTGCTAAGAAGAGGGCTTCCAAGGGCTATGTTGACAGAGATGGATTCATTAGTGTCATATTGGCCCTTTGGATTGGTCGCTGCCAAAATTGTGGTCCTTGTATTTAGTTTGCACACTAAGCTGAAGGAAAAAGAGGGTGGCATTGGTATTAAATAGAACTGAACTCTTTTAGAAATGATTTTTTAAAATATTACTGTTAGAACATCTTTCATTCTAAATCTTCATTATGGGATTCCAAAGATTTCAATTTATTTCATGTGGACTGAAGAATTTGGATGATAGTACAAGTCCCTGGAAAAGGCTTGCGGATTATAACAAAGCACAATTTGCATGGGTATGGCAAGCCAAACCAAACCAAACATGTAGGTGATGGATGACAACAATCCTATTTTGACTAGAAGCAACAACACTACACATTTCAAAATGGTGTTGGGTTATCAAACACTTTCTGATCTGATTAATAAAACAGTTTCTTCAGTGAGAACAAGAATGAACTATTTGGAAAACTAACACTGAATTTGAAAACTCTAAATTTTGTGAGGTTCCAATCACAATTAATTGAATTCTTCTCTTGCTTTGCTTAAATCTATATAGATATTCCCTGACCAGGTAATCTTCCCCAGGAGATCCTCTTTGTTTAATCCAAACCAGATTATCCTGATACTTGAAAAACTCTTACTCACATCCAAACTTTCATTTCTACCCTGATATATGCCACTTATACATAGAGCTACTGCATGCTTATTTGATGCACTGTAAATGCATACGCCTCTTAAATTATTGTGCATATTCCCAAAGAATCAACCTACAGTCTGACTTGTAGTAAGAGTTTCTATGACAGCTCTTGAACACAGTACGGTTTTGCCTTCTTTAATTTGTTTGACCTTGACCCCAGGTTTGATTTCAAAGAACCAGAAGGATATTTTAGTAGTCATAGCATAACCCTTGTTGCAGGCAGCCAGGCAGCTGTTCTAAATCTGAGTTAGGTTTGATCTATTTCTAGTTGGTGCCATCTTAGACCTTACCTCACATATTGAATGGGAACAAATACAGCACCAATCATCTTAGCTTTCATATTTGTAACAGTACGCAACATGGGAAAAGCATTTTGACTTGAAGCCAGTATCAACAGAGATTCAAAAAGGAAATGAGTGTTGACCCCTTTGCATAATGCCATAAGGATTGCTAAATATGGAAGGGAAAATTTGGAACTCCGGAATACATACTTGGAATGGAAAAAAGGTTCTAAAATTCCATCAGCAGCACCAAACAAGTTTCATTGCGCTCCTAACTAAAAATGGATTTTCACTTTTGCTGAAAATAGTATCCAGTAATGGTTATTTCAAGTCCGTGTTTATGATCAGACTTACATTGGTACAAGGGTGACGTAAACATAAAACCAAAGTGCATTATTTTCTCATGCATCCAGTTTTTATACATATCCAGAAAGCTTTGCTGCAAATTTTAACAATTCATTGTGATACTCTCAAACAGGAGATGGGAAAAAATGAGAGCTAATAGCTAATCAAAAGCTGCTGCTTCTTCACCTGGCAATTTCGAAAAATGTTGGAAAGATGTTAAAATACAGTAATATACTCAAGATATCAAGGGGCTGTGAAAGAGCTTTGGAGCTGCGGAGTGCCCATTGTAATCTCTGTGTTATTTTTGAGTGGGCTGGGTTGCAATCTATAACGTCCATATACAACCCATTTAGAATGGTCGTGATTTATAACATACTTATAGAACACACTGTTTTTAAAATTGAAATTAAATTGTGTTGTCTCTGATCTCAGTAATAAAATTGAAATGTTTAATTACTTCACAGGGCGTGTCAAATTTTTCAACTTTCAATTTCCAAACACTAGGGGTGTGCAAAAGTTGTGACATGCCTTGGGGATTGTAAAGACATTTGGGTTACTTTAACATAATTTTGATGTACTTGGAAGTAACAACATAAATATATTTATTTTTTAACAGTTTGTTTGTTTCATTTAGTCTACCATTCCTCCAATGTTTCTTCTTCCATCCTGTCCCTATTTTATCCTTTGTGAGGCTGGTGAGATGGACAGATATAGACTGAAGCTGGTTTATCCAAAAAGCTTCATAATTAAATGGGGAGCTGAGTCTGGACCTTTCAGGCTTATTTTGTACTCTCAAACCACTGCATCACACAGGCAATCCTACAACATTAGCACAAGGATCAATAAGTTAAAAAAAGTACAGCTGTAATCTTAACATTTTAAACATACTTACCCAGCCTTGGCAACACTGATGGTTTGCTGCTCCATGGCCTCATGGATGCTTGTTCTGTCATGTTCCTTGATGCTGTTAAACTCATCTATGCAGCAGAGGCCTCCATCGGCCAGGACCAGTGCACCAGCCTCCAAATTCCATTCTCCAGAGTCTTTCACAGCAGTTACAGTCAAACCTTGAGAACAAAATCTTCCCTGTAAAAGCCTGGTCGTACTATAAGCAGCTGTTTTAAAAATGCACATGAAAGCAGAGTGTCTATGCAGATTCTGTCATCCAGGTCATGGTTGCCCCAAATGACAACATTTTTCAAGAGGCAACTGGACTTTCTTGGATGTATTTTTTTTTAAGACATTTCGCTTCTCATCCAAAAAGCTTCTTCAGCTCTGGCTGGATGGTGGGGAATGGAAGGAATTATACTGATTACAGACAGCTAGTCATTTGAATTTTTAGAGAGTCATTGAGGCCACCTGGAGGTTTATCTGTGTCGTCAGGATCACCTGAGTATCCCTTCCCTTCTGTTGAGAAAGGGCTGTTCAAAAGAGGCCGTCTATGTCAAAATTGAACCGCCCTCTCTCAACGGGGGTGGGGTGGGTGGGGGGTAGGTGGGGGTGGAATATGACATCATCTATCTCTGATCTCCAGCAGTCCTTTCAACATTTCCAAGAAGGCTCCACACGCATTTACACTACTCAGGTGACCCTGATGACACAGATAAACCTCCAGGTAGCCTCAATGACCCTCTAAAAGAATGTAAATGACCAGCTGTCTGCAAGGAATATAACAGGAAGGTATGACAAGGAATCATAGGGAGATGATGGAACTGATGCAGGAGACAGATGTGAGACTAGAAAACCCCCAGCAAATGACAACAAAAGATGAACAAAAAATTCAGAAAATAGAGGAGAAACCAGAAGGAGTTGAAGAAAAAATAGAGGAGATAAATAAAAAAAAATGAGACAAGCAGATAAAGATATGGAAGAGATAGTAATAATTCTTAAAATGGAACAGATAGATTACTCTTTAAGAATTCAAAATATAGAAAAGAATAAAGAGAAAGCTTTCCCAAAAGTGATGAAAAAATTGGTGCTCTAGAGTTCCAACAGCAAGAGATAGGCATTGAGGCAGAAGAAATACTTAGATTAAATAAGTGTGATGTAAGGAGATACAAGATCCAAAGGGAGAAACATGAAAGATTTACCAAAAAGTCAATAAGAGTTGAAATTTTAAAAAGAGTGACTTTCCAAAGCCCATGCTTAAACCATAGGAACATAAAAGCTTTACTAATTCTAGGTGAACACAAATTTGACACTATTGGCATCTGCACTGTTAACCAAGGAACTCTCTCATCGGTCCTCATGAAAATTCTGTATTTTTAAGCAGAATTTTAAAAATTCTGCAAAATTTTTAGCAGAACAACTAAAAAGACTATAATAAAGCTAATCACATATGCAATTTTTTAAAAAAAATGTACGGAATTTGCTTGAAATATACACAAGAGACAAATTAAAGCAAAATTACAGTATTTATTTTGTACATTTACCATTTCAAGTATGAAGCCACTCTACTGGTATTAGAAGGCCCTACTCCTTTTTTAATATATCACTGTTAATTCATAAAGATTTTCTCCAGAAATGTATGAACCAGAGTGGCTTTTGATCTACACAGTACTAGTGCAATTCAATGGCTAGGACCAATCAATGACAGAACACTAGAATTCTGAAATACTTACAATTTCTGGGAGTTTCTGAAAGGCAGCATCACAATGAAGTTTACTGCAACAGTTTGAAATGTGACCAAGCCATCAATCACATGCATAGGGTTATGAAAGAAAGGCTACAACTAGGAAAACATTCTAAGCTGCAAAAATGCATTCTTGGTTATGATATCACACACACGGACGTCCATTGATCCAGAAGCAGCATTAAAGATGAATTCAAGCCTTAAAAAAATGCAATGCATCTATCAAAGGCTGAAGTCTAATCCCAAACATGTTTCCAATTATGGTACATCTTGCCTGGATTTCAGTTTGCTTTTTTTATCCCCTGGAAGACCTGCCCATGATCAATCAGTGTTTCAGAATTTTGTCTCCCTGTCTAAAAGCTGGTGAGAAAAGGAAATGGAGCCCAGGGTCACTAACATATTGCCAACACTGTATGAGACAGGATGGAATATTGAATATTTTCTCCACTGGCAACTGACAATCCCAGTATATACACAGTATATACACATACACACACACACACCCCACACACACTCTCTCTTCAATTTACGACTGCAATTAAGCCAAAAATTTATCCTACTAAGTGAGAGATTTGTTAAGTGAGTTTTTGCCCCATTTTACAACTTTTCTTGCCACATTTGTTAAATGAATCACAGCAATTGTTAAATTAGTAAAATGGGTGTTAAAAGTGAATCCGGTTTCCCCATCGACTGCTTGTCAGAAGGTTGCAAAAAGTGATCACATGACCCCAAGGCACTGCAACAGTGATGAGTCAGTTGTCACTCATTCAAATGTAAATCACCTGACGATGGGGAAATGCTGCAAAGGTGAACGTTAACTGTGAAAAATGACCATAGGTCACTTTAAAAAACTTCCAACGGTCACTAAGTGAATTGTTGTAAATCGAGGGCTACCTTGTATTCTCTTTATTGCAATCCATCACTATCACTATCCCTCTGCTCTAGGATGGGAAACGCTGCTTTACGAACTACCAAGCGAGTCTCTCAATTAAAGCCGAGCCACTTTTTACTCAAAATAAAAGAGGCGGCGGAAAGGAGGGCGAGAGTTCTCGTCTTGAGGCGGCAGGAGTCCCCGGCCGGGCCTGCAGCTCACGCCCCCTTCCCTCCCTCCCTCCCTCCCTCCCGCGAAGTCCCGCGGGCTCTTCCGCCGCGAAAGCCGGCGCCGAGCCCGGCAGGTGGAGCGCCAGCGAAGCTCCGGCATTCCGCTCCAGCCACGGAGCCCTTCTTGCTCTCTCAGGGAAACCTCGGCAGCGGGAGGAGGGTCACGGCTCCGCCCGTAGCCAATCCGGGCCCGCGCTGCCAGTTAACCGAGGAGAATGGGCTGGAGTTTGGTGGAGTAGCAAAAGCTGCAAAACAGCGCGGAGCGCTCTCGGGGTGGGAAGAAAAAAAGAAAGAAAGAAAGAAGAGGAGGAGGAGAGACAAGCGAGCGCCCGCCCGATGCCTCCGCCAAAGGCAGCGGGAGCAGAAGGGAGGGCCGGCGGCGAAGTTTCCTAACTCGCCTCTCCATCTCTGGCCGGCGTCCGTCTCCCGCGCAAGGCGAGCCGCCTCTGCACTTTCTCGGGCGGCAGGAGGGACGCGCTCCGACTATTGTCCGCGGGTCCTCTTTCCCCGCGCTTCCTTCTCCTCTCCCCCACCCACCCACCCCTTCCCCGCCCAATATGGCAAAGGTTCAGGTGAACAACGTCGTGGTGCTGGACAACCCTTCGCCTTTCTACAACCCCTTCCAGTTCGAAATCACCTTCGAGTGCATAGAGGACCTCTCCGAAGGTGAGTCCCCGCCGAGCCCCCTTTTTTTCAGGGCTTCCAGGCTTAAACTTTGCAAAAAGGCCTCGGCGACGGGAGCGCCTTTCCACGGGAAGTGGGGAAGGGTTCCGCCGGGCGGCTTGCCTGCCTGGGAGAGGCGAGCCGGAGGCGCTTGGCGTTTTCCCCACCCCAGGCGCGCGCGAGGCTCGGGGGCCAGGCTCGAGCGCCCGCGAGGAAAAGGGAAGCCGCAAGTTGCAGGGAAGTTGCTCGGGTGCTGGGAGCAGCCATGTTGCCGCCGCCGCCGCCGCCGTGGTGTTGAGCGGCTCGTCGGGCGCGTACGCGAGAGGAGGGCTTTGCCCATCTCGCGTGCCCGCCCGAGCAGGACCGCCGAGCCGGGGAAAAGGGGCACCAAGGCTCCGCCAGCGGTGGCCTAGCTTTAGGGGGGGGGGGCTTGGATGCCCCCGACCGCGGTTTGCTATCCCTCTCCAGAGGACTCGCGATTGCAAAGCGTGGAAAGTACCTGGCGGGAGTAACCGTGGCGCTACTTTGCTTCCGTCAAGCTCCTCTTTCGGAAGAGCGCTTCGGTTATCGGACCTTGCAGGTCCCGGAGTTAAAAAAAATGCGAGCAATTCCAGTTTTTGCTCCCTTCGGGTAGCGAAATAAAACCACCGAGTCAATTCAAGCCTTGCAAACTGGGACTTAAGCGGCGGCCAAAGAGCCCCTTCCTTGTCTTCTCTCTTCCCCGGTTGGGCGGAGGAGATGGCGTTGGGAGAATCGGTGCTGTAATTTGAAATCGAAAATTGAAACTTCAGTTACCCACCCCACCCAACTAATTTTCAGTAAGCGCCACTGACTTCAGCATTTGGTTTGTTGTAAAGGCTTGATTTGATCGAAGCTAAGTTTAAGGATAGGATTTCTTATTTTTGTTTTCAAGGGTAGAATTCAAAGAGATGGTGGGGTTTGGAAAGGGGTTTTGTTACTGTGGGAGGGAGGGGGGACTTTTAATTTTGAATGTTTTATTTAAAAGTCTTTTTCTCAAATGTAGATTTGGAATGGAAAATCATTTATGTGGGCTCAGCAGAAAGTGAGGAATACGATCAAGTTTTAGATTCAGTTTTAGTAGGCCCTGTTCCTGCAGGAAGACACATGTTTGTATTTCAGGTAAGCCAATTCTTAAATGCCAGCATGATAGTTACTCCTCTAAATTGTTTGGGGGGTAAATAGGAGGCAGGAATATTTCTTACGTTTACTGAGTTTACACATATATCATGGTAAAAGTATAATAGAAATATTTTTTTCATGATCAAATGTCACCAATTCATTGGTTAAATGTAACTGAAATTCAGAGTTGTCATTTATTTAAAACAGTTTAAGCTAAGGCTAGATAACCATCTTTACCTGACATCTAATTTAAATCATATATATGCCTGTGAACAATAAGTGACCCAGAGGAAAAGTAACTGCTAAGGAACAGAAGAGTCCATAAGTGGAGTAGAATGGATGTTTTCATAAGTCACATTTAAAGAACAAATTCAAACCTGATCCTTGGATGCAGTGGCCTAACCTGTACTGAGTCTTATCAATTACTTTAAGTAACATTCTCAATTATGTTCAAACCTAGAGGAAAGCATTTATTTGAAGACAAGTAACAATAGATGGAAATTAATCAAGGAGAGAATCAATCTGGGGGGGGGGGATTTCCTGACAATTAAAACCTAACAGTGGAATGACTTGTCCCCAGAAATTATGGGGGCACCAAAACTGAAGGTTTTTAAGAAGAGATTGGACAATCATTCGTCTGAAATGGTATAGGATTTCCTGCTTGAGTAGGAGGTAGACTAGAAGACTTCCAAGGTTCCTGCCAACTCTTATTCTGTTAAATATTGTTATTCTGTTAAGATAACCCAGAGGTTGAAGAATGATAAATCTCTCAAGATGGCTTATTCTGTTAAAAATTGTTTTTTCACAACTATGGTAGGGAAAGCTAAGCCTCCCACTTGTTTTACCTTGCTCCAACTCTTAAGGGAGCCACTTTGTTTATTGAACATGAGAGGTAGGAGAAGAGATAGTTGCAAAAGTAGCTAAGATATCAGTGGATCACAAATGAACCAGGGCCACCTAGGTTTTCTACAATTGTCCAGCACCATGGCTAGTGCCAGACAGGAGAAAATTTTACTCATTAAGAGGTGCTGCTCTTAATAGGAACTACTTTGCTGCTGGAAGAGAGAAGCAAGGCTTCTTGGTAGATTTCTAAATTCTGCAGCTTTGCACCACTGGAAATCAACTTTCAGAAAGAGTAAATACAATAATTATTTAAGGCATTAAGTCCCTGAGTTAGTTGATTCCACTTTGGATTAAATTTTTGATTGGCTCTTATTTTTTATCGGTAATTTCTCAGTATTATTGGAAGTTCTCTAGAACCAGAGATGGGGAGCACAATTAGCAAAGGAAGTATGAGCATCTAATTTTATCTTGTAGTGGTTACGTTTGTTGAACAAACCTATTGTTGAACGAATCACATTACTTGTTATCTCCCTAACATATAACTAAAAAAAAAAAACAAACATTGCAAAATCAGTTAAGTACACATACTGGTATATTTTTAAAAATGAATCCCGAGATGCTTCTACCACCATCCTTCATGTTGCTTTTACTCCGCATTGCCAATAAAAATAATTTTTTTCATGTATGATTTTGGCCAAAACTCTGTGAATGTATATTTCTATCAATTAGCAGAAATTGGAGGCAATTTGAAATGCAGTGTATTTGCTCATGAAGAAATTATTTACATTTTGGAAGCAAAAGGAAACTTCTTTTAAATGTACTTTTATAAAAGAGGTGAATGAGAACGAATTTCCATTTAAAAATGCATGTCATATAGCATCGAAACCTGACATCTTTTTTTGAGTGGGAGAGAACTGGAAGAGTCAGGAATATTTTTAAACTTCAACATAAAGTGATCAGGTTCAATCAAGATAAATACTTAGTGTGAAGTGAAGAGTGCATGATCTTTTAAAATTTACATGGCATTCGTCAGTTTATATTAGCTAGACTTTAAACTTTATAATTTTAAAACTAACACTATAAACCATATTATGATATAGGTTGTTATGGAACCTATTTATAATACTTCAGTTGTATGTCCGAAGCCTGAAAAACTTTTTTGAGATGTATCACTTCAAGTGTGTGTGTGTGTGTGTGTGTGTGAATATGAAGTTTAATTGGAGGTGTTAATCTAATTTTTAGAAGTTGCCTTTTTAGATAAGGGATTAAGGTAGGTAACTTCTAAAATTGAATGGTTTGGTTAGTGACATATGTATACTTACTTGGTGGTGGTATTCAAAAAATTCTAAGGTAAAAGAAGGCTAGTAATACACTTAAGTCTTCTAAAAATTAACTTGGAATATGATCTGACCTCAGGAAATGAAATGATAGTGTTTGAAATCTAAATTATGTAACTTGATTAATCCTGTTCCCTTTTATTTTTTACTATAGGCAGATGCTCCTAATCCAGGCCTTATTCCTGATGCAGATGCTGTAGGTGTAACGGTTGTCTTAATCACCTGCACTTACAGAGGTCAAGAATTTATCAGAGTTGGGTATTATGTAAACAATGAATATACTGAAACAGAATTGAGGGAAAACCCTCCAGTAAAGCCGGATTTTTCTAAGGTAGGATATTATATACTGTGTAAATCCATCCAAATCGCCGTTTTTAAAACTACACTATAGAATTGGTTGATCAAAATTGTTTAAAAGTAAGCAACAGTTAATAGGTAAAAATTAAGCAGCTTTTAGTCATCTATTAGTGATAATGTTGCATTTTGTACCTCTGGGGTCATTCCTTCCTCCAGGATGGGCTGAGGGTTAGGGTTAGGGTTGAAGCAGATCGAATATCACCAGGCTCAAGGTTGACTCAGCTTTCCACCCTTCCGAGGTCGGTAAAATGTAGACCCAGATTATTGGGGGCAATATGCTGACTCTGTAAACCGCTTAGAGGGGGCTGTAAAAGCACTGAAGTGGTATATAAGTCTAAGTGCTATTGCTATTTGCCACAAATCCATCCTTGTTGGTTTAAAGTTCAAGCGCCCATAACAGATAAAGTGCATTGGTGCAGAGTAATTGAAAGGGAACGAAGCTGTTGCACAGCTAGGAGATGAAGAGAGAGGAACAAAGGGCACCAGCCTTGTCTTACCTGCTCTTTAAAACTCTTCCAGATTTATTTTAGGGGAAACCCAAATCAACCTTCGGGTTTCCTGCAAGCAGACCTATGTGGCCCACTGTGTTTGTTCTGTGTGTGGAAGAAAGCGTTTTTATTTTATTTTTTTGCTGTATGCACTTGTACTCTAAACCAACAAGGATGGCAAATGGAGTTTGAATCTTAATTCTATTCATAAATTACAAACTTGAGCATATATGCTCAGCGAAATCTCATTACTTCATCTTTAGTGTATAGGGAGACCTCAACTTAATGACCTTAATAAGTTTAACAATGTCTCAAAGTTATGATGGTTAAATGTGAACTAGACATCAAGCCCTAGAACACTGATGGCGAAACTTTTCGGCATTGAGTGCTCAAACGGAATGGTCAAAGCCACCTGGTCTTTGGGTTTCTGGCGCGTGCATGTGTGCCAGCCAGCTGGTCTTCACACATGCCGGAGCGCTGGAAACCAGAAGAGCAGCTGGATTGATGCTCTTGCCCACAGAGAGGGCTCTGTGTGCCACCTCTGGCATGCCTGCCATAGGTTTGCCATCATGGCCCTAGAACATAAATAAACTTGTAAGCCTAAGAATGCATGTAAATATGCATATGTTCCTTTGTAGAGTAAATATGCCCTTAGTCTAGTGACAGGTGATGCTTATTAACAGTTTATAGCAGAACACATGATAATGGAGTAAGTTCCAAGCCTGGCCATATCATTTCTGGTTAGGCTTAAAGGGGCTTCAATTTGGGAGGATTTTTTTGTTTCTTCACAGCAAGCAGTTCACAAAAAATTCCTCCTTTTACCTAGACTTTGCTGTTAATTTAGTATTTCACTTTGCAAAACAAAAATGTCCCAACTCTATTTATGTTATCTTTATTGAAAGGAAGAATGTATTGGATGCACATTTGGTATTATACAATATAATATATACAGGTAATCCTCCCTTAACGACTGCTAGTTCAGCAGTTGTTTGAATTTACGGTCGCATCGAACAGATGGTACTTATGACCAGTCCTTGAAGTTCTGGTCATTGCAATGACTTCAAGGTTTTGTGATTCCAAGGTCTCATGATTGCCGTTAGTGGCCTCCTTTGCCAGCTTCCTACAAGCAATGTCAGTGGGGAAACTTGCAAGAGGTCCCGCAAATGGGGATTATGTGACATCTTCACTTAACTATCCATTGTGTTGATAAAGTTCTTCCATCATTAATTGAACTGATAAAGGGAATGAGAATTCCTATTGTGAAAAAAAAATGTTAACCTGTCTTTTTTGGAGATCTGAATCACAAATTTAATCTTCAGTGAAAACATAAGGGACGCAAGGGGGCGGGGCGCAGTTGACATTATCTTTAACGGGGGTTGTTTCTCTGCTGCCCACATTCGCATCTATTGATTGTTATTTTATCAAAGAGCACAACATATAGGAATAAGCCTGTTTTGAATAGTCTGCCTTTTGATGTTTAAACAGCTATATTATTTTTATCAACCTTTCCCTTTTCTGGTTTATGTTGTACACATCATCTAATACAAAAGAAAGTCTACATCTTCTAAAACATTCATCTCTCTGTTTTCTAGCTCCAGAGGAATATTTTGGCATCTAATCCCAGAGTCACAAGATTCCATATTAATTGGGAGGACAACACTGAAAAACTGACAGATGCCGAGAGCAGTAACCCAAACCTCCAGTCACTCCTTTCTACAGATGCCCTGCCTTCAGCCTCAAAAGGGTGGCCAACATCTGAAAACTCTCTAAATGTCATGTTGGAATCTCATATGGACTGCATGTGACCTTCTGCGCTATGTTATATGTTGAGCTCTAAACACACACAGTACACAGAACACAACCATCACGGAAACATTTTCTTTGGAATTACATATTAAACAAATGTGAAAATTGCTTAAAGAACACACAACCTGTAGAAAGTTTATAAGGAAAAGTATTTGAGTGGATGTATAAATAAAACTATTTTTGAGTAACTTTCTGAGATTTTTTTTAAATCTAATGTTAGAGCTTATTACACATATGTATAAAGATATGCAAACTAGGCATAGGCAGGGATGATAGATGTTTACATGTTTTTAGTTGTAAATTATAGATGGGCTTTAGTGAAGCGTATGCAAGCTTAGCTTGAATGCAATGGTCTTTTATGCTTTATTTATTTTTGCGATTTATATGCCGCCATTCTCCCGAAGGACTCAGGGCGGCTTATAACAATAATACAAATCACAAAATCACAAAATAAGTTAAAAACCCCTTAAAAACCATATTTAAAATTATTACAGCTTGTGCAACCCCTTTAGAAGCTTTGAGTGTGAATTGTGTGCATAGTGGGCAGAGCTGGCCCAAACAAAAGGTGGCAGCTACCTGCAAACTGCAGATGTTACTTTTAAGATTCATGAGATCAGTCTAATGCAACTTAGTATCACTCTTATCAGTGACAACAGTGTTATATGCAGGCTGCCAAAGGGGCATTGGCTGGGCAGGTGCCATTGCATACTCGTCAAATTATGATGGCTACTGCAAATGAAAGAAAAGAATGACCAACTAGTAAAACTTCAAGCCTGTCAAGCTTTAAGCTCCCAAGCAATGTTGGAAAAGGCACAACTGCTACCGGGATTGCATAGTACATCAAACCAGAAATAGAGGATTTTAATACCATTAGCTGGCCAAGGTACTCCAGACTTTTTTCCCTACTGAGGTGGCAAATACTGTTGCAGGAATTTATGGTTTAACACAAGCCCCAAATCTTTATACGTACAGTACAATCATCCACAAGGATGCTGTTCTTTAACTTGTAACTTTTGGCCTTTTCTCATTCTAAGCAGCTAAATGTAGTGCATTAGAAATTTACTATGACTCCAAATGTCAGGCAGCTTTGTTGGCTCTTGGATGAAAGATTTACTTACAGTTGGTAGAATGTAGGGCTTGCAAAGAGCAAATGTGTGAACATGATCAGTGTGACTCCTCTAGATGATGCCATTCACATTTAAGAGTATATGTGTGTAAATCTATATCAGTATATTATTACATTAGTTGGTTGAAACTATTGGTTAGTAATATGAGGTACACCAAAATTGTCCATGTCTGGCTGTGAGCATGTGTGTTGTGTGTGCACGCCTGCCTTTTAAATCCTGGCAACTGCCTGGACATGCCACTACAGATTTTTCAGTAAAGCTTCAAAAATGGCTTACCATTGCCTTAAATCCTCAGGGTTGAAAGTGGCTGGCCCAAAGTCATGTTGGGATTAGAACACCTGGACTTCCAGTTTCCAGCCTGGTACCTTAACAACTACACCAAGCTGCCCCTCTTGGCTAATCTTAGAACATTCCTATTCCTTGAAGTTTCCTTCCCCTCAGATAAAAAAAGTGCTATAAATACTATGGCCTGAAATTCTGCCTTGCGTGGAATCTCTATACAAGGACTGACAGGAGTCTGGAAATGGCCAGATTTCTGGTCTGGGGCTCACTTTCTGTCCTTTGTAGCTTTTTATTGTTATCTAATATTCCAAAAAAGGTTGCAATGCATGTGATAAATTTTCTAGGTGAATACTCTTAGAGGTGACAAGGCCAAAGGAAAGATTCAAAATAGCTACATTTGATATGAATTGTTGTATCTGAAGCTCAGGATTTAGTATGTACCATTGGGTCTGCCATACAACTCATTATTTTCCGTGTAACTTGCTCTACTAATGATTTAAGTAGGAATTTCAAAGATGTGAAAATAGTATGAATGTGAATGAGCATTTTGAGTACATATATTAATTTCTTCTTATCCATATGCAGATCTGAACATTTTTCCTAAGACTCAAATATGGCTCTTGATCTAAGAACTTGTGCACTTCTGCAATAGAAAACTGACATAAAATAATTCCATTTACAATATATATATATATCCCTTGAAATTCTCCCTTAATGTCAGTTCTGGTGGCCATTGTTCAAATGTTGCCATTGTTAATGGCTGCTAAATATTATTTCTGTAGAATCTACCAGAAAGATTAGCATCCCCTATAACATCAATAAAAATGTTTAGGAAAAGGGAAGGAATATATCAACTGACCAATTTCTGAACTGATTGTCAAGAATTACTGATTTAGTAATCAGCTCAAGAACTGGTCGGTTGACCTTGTCAACTCTAATAATGAAGTCCAGGCTAACATCAGTTGTACATGCTATTATTCTGCAGGGGCCTTTGGTGCTTATTGAATTAGCTTGTATTCCTAGATAGCCTCATAGGTTTAGTCAATTCTCTATCCTTTTAAATAACTACTGTATCTACTAAGAGGTCTGTTAGTGAGCTTTAGAGGATACATATGATTTTGCATAATCTACTCTCAACACATTAGCCATTCAGACAATTTCAACAGTTTATCTTTTGGGACATATCCTAAATTATACTGTCCCTTCCTGAGCCTGCTTCACCTCTTCTTCAAGTATCAAGATTTTCCCTTACCAAGGGAGAATCACTTTTAACATAAGTGGGCCTTAGCAACTACTCACCTGACTTTTGATGCATCTGTCCATATCTCTTATGGTTATGGTTTGGGTACAAAGACCCTTGTCTGCTAGGCAACCAACAATTTTTGCATTGGACTTCACTACACCTTCATTCTTTGTTTGACTATATGAAGACCAAGTCCATTCCTCTAGAGGAAAATGGAGAAAACCGTGGAGCTTGGCAGTTCCTTCTGTTCACATGTCAGCTATTAGAAATTCCCAAGTAAGACTAACTTTCACAAAAATTCTACCATTTATCCCCATTATCCCTACGATCGTCCTTCCTCAACTTGAGTGAACTTCAACTCTCAGTTTTTTAGTGGGAATTCGTAGGAGCAGTCAGTGGAAAAGAAGCTCTGCTATATACATGTAGTTTCCAAAACTCTGACAGATTATTTAATGATGCTTATAAAATCCATTGGGAAGACTAACACCTCCTAAGTAAAACTATTGGTTTATAATGAATCTGGTCAGCACATAGTCTAATTCTTTCTGAGCAGCAGTGCATTTCCAGTGTCTCTTAATTTCTGATGCCTGAATTTTTCTCCCTTTTACTTTGGAGAACTTGCCTTGGATATATCTACCCATTATTCTGCCCCTGAGGGCGGCAGAGGCAGGGTGATGATACCTTGATATGTTTCTCCCATCATTTTTGTATTTGGGGTTTTTTAAATATGTTAAGACATGTGAATACATTTATCAGAGAAAAACTGTGCCATTGTTAACTCAAGGTTGCTGAACTGGAAAATTGAAGGAAGGCACTGCGAAAGAGAGGCTAGAATACATGGGTTGCTATCTCTTGCTTAGAAATGAAAGTTCTCTTCCTGAGCTACCAAACAGTGCTATACTGATTAGCACAGAATCACTCCTTAATTACAAGCTAACTTGAAAATACATTATTGGACTGGGTACATCTGCCATGCATTACAATTCAAATATAATTCAAGGAGCATCCTTTGTCTGTCATCTGCCTCCCTGAACATAAATCACTGAAATAGGAACAGTTTTCTTCTGCATGGGGGAAAAAACTGCCTAGAGCTGCACTTTTGCCTGCCATCAGCACCGGCCTCTTTCTCTATCATAGCATTTGCAGCCAACCGTGGAACAAGAGATGACATATTAGATCACAGGAATATCTGCTGAATGTGGAGGAAGCTAGGCAAGGGTTTTGGAAATTTAGCAACAACATCTGGGTGATGGTAAAAAAGAGGAGAGTTGTGAACCACCGGTGGAGGCACGAACCACAGCAGGAATGTGATCAGGGACAACTGTGGTTGTCAATGGTGAGACAAGCAGATTGCCTGTATTAGTCTGTGTAAAATTTTCAGCAGTCTCTACATATTAGCGGAGAACTTGGGAAATTTGGCTCTTAGCAATAGCGCTTAGACTTATATACTACTTCACAGTATATTTAAAGCCCTTTCTAAGTTTTTTACAGAGTCAGCATAGCCTTCTCTGTGGCGGCGCCCGCCCTCTGGAACAACCTCCCCCCAGAGCTACGTACAATAACAGACCTCCGGATTTTTCGTCGGGCCCTGAAAACCCATTTATTCCAACTAGCTGGGCTGGCTTGAGTCAAATTTTAAATGGATTTTAAATTGGAATGTTTTAATTACGGCCAAAATTATTTAATTATTTTAAACAGTTTTTAGATTTTGTATGTTTGTATGTATGTCTTGTTTTTACTTTGGCTGTTCACCGCCCTGAGTCCTACATTGGAGAAGGGCGGTATAGAAATTTAAACAAATAAATAAATAAATAAATAAATAAATATTGTCCCCAACAATCTGGGTCCTCATTTTACCAACCTCCGAAGGATGGAAGACTGAGTCAACCTTGAGCCTGGTGAGATTCAAACTGGCAAATTGCAGTCAGCCGGCAGTCAGCAGAAGTAACCTGCAGTACTTCATTCTAACCACTGCACCACCGAGGCTCTTACCCATTTTCTAAGTTTATATCCATGCAGTGTTATTTACCTGCACTTGTAGATCCAATCCCTGCTGTAAGTACAGATCGTGGAGTAATCTTTGCTGCATATTTCAGAAATTGAGATTTACCAGTACCGGGGTCTCCAACCAATAAAAGATGTGATTCACCTGGAGGTAGAGTAAAGATGCCCAAGTTTTCTACAGACCAAATTTTAGATGAAAATTGTATTGAAGAAATATAAAAAGCAGAAATATAATTCCATATGTAGTCTATAATTCATAGGGAAAGCATGGAAGTTTATTTAAATGAATCACATTTTCTTCTTCATACTCAGATTACTGCCCTTACATGACCTTACTGATCAGTAATACATGCATTTTTAATTTAATTGTAAAATGGGAAAAGGGAAATGTAAAACTGTGATTAAAATGACAGAATTGTCCATCCTTTTGATATTTTGCCAAAACATTTGCTGACAATCAGTTCTAAATGGCAAGGTACAAAAACAAACAAGAGTTGACAAAAACATCTCTTATTCAGAACAGAATAGATTACCTTAATTTCCAAAAAGCCTTTCTAGATATTCTTCGCCGACACAGAAATGATGCCATTATTTCAAAGATAAGTTTTTAAATTTAAATTTATATGTTTATAGGCATATAAACAAAACTGTTTGAGGATCATGCCCACAATCAAGAGGCAGATAATGCACCTTCTTGGAAGCATTAATTCAGGCATTCAATATCAAAGGAAAAAAATAAAATAAAAACTGGTTGAAAGTTTATCATAAATAATTTAAACGAACGCTCTAGTTAGCGATAAAAAAAGCTGCTCCTTTGAATACAGATGAAACTGATTAATATTTTCTCTGTTTGAATATTATTTGAATATATCATTAACTTTAAAGTAGTGATAAAAACGTATAGTCTTACCTTTAACAGCTAAATACTGTAAAAGTTTTCAAACAAATGGGACCTTGTCCTATGGAATAGTATATTTAAAATTCAAACTACCATATTTTTCAGAGTATAAGACACACTTCCCCCCCCCCAAAAAGGGTGAAAATTTGGGTGCGTCTTATACACCATATGTAGCCCTGCCCACCGCCAGCCCCCACCCTTTGGTGTCTGCCTCCCAGCAATTTACCTCTTTACAGCAAACAGCCTGTTTCATCTTCAGCACAGCCTGATTAGCACAAGCAGTTGATTGTCAGTTGGATTGGCGTCCCGACCCTCAGCTGTTTCAGGCTGCAGGGATTGCCATTGCCTATTGCCGTGCGGGCCTCCGCTGCTTGCTGCAAGGAGGCAAACTGCTGGGAGGCAGATTTTTTTTTTCTTGTGCTAATCAGACTGTGCTGAAAATGAAAATGAAACTAAAGCAGGCTGTTTGCTGTTTGCTGCAAGGAGAAAAATTGCTGGGAGGCAGATTTTTTTTTCTTGTTTTCCTCCCCAAAAAAGGTAGGTGCATCCAGGGCCGGATTTTCCTATAGGCTAACTAGGCTTCAGCCTAGGGCCTCAAGATCAAGAGGGGCCTACATTCAAATTGTTAGCAAAATTAAAATTACACTTTCACTATAGGTGAAAGGGCCTCATAAGTGGAATAGCCTAGGGCCTCTTTTCATCTAAATCCGGCCCTGGGTGCATCTTATAGTCCGGAGTGTTTTATACTCCGAAAAATATGGTATCTTATGTATCTTAAGTATTATGTCCAGAATAATTCCTTTTGAGCACTTTCTATGTTTCAGACCTTTCTAACCTCTTGCATTTTTTAAAGATGTATATCACAAAGGACATCATTCTTTTGTCAATTTAAGGGGAGAAATTTATGTATTAAGACATCACAAAGAGGAGTTTTATTTTTTTAAGAGCTAAAGATATTTTGGATTTCATTATAAATGAAATTCAGACTATGACATTAACTATGCCTAAAATATTGTTCATCTTAAATATAGGCATAACAATAACAATTTTTCAACAATATGATATTTATGGCTATTAATTTCAAATGCAAAAATTTGCTTTGGGTAAAGTAAGGTGCAATATTAAATAAGAGATGTAAATTCTGTTAGGGCAAAAAAAGGAAGGCAACATATGTATTTTGTATATATATTCATTTTATAATAAAGCATATTTTAGTTCTATAAATTAGAAACGATATGTATATTCCATCTTTTTAATCTAGATTCTGCCTGTAAACATTATGTTGACTTGTCCTTTCTATGCCTTGTAAAAACATGAAATAGATTCCTTAACCTGTTTAGTTCCGCAAGAATGTACACAACGAAGAAAACTAGTTTAATTTAAATTTAAAAATATTTTTCAGGCCAATGTCTAACAAGTAGAGAAAGAAAGAAAAGAGTTCTATTACAGTGTGGGAATAAGAAGGAAGAGAATATTGTATACCAACCTCTAACCCGAGTGCCAGTATTATCTGTTCTCTGTACCCCTCCCGCGAGCACCATTGCTACAGCCAATTTCACAAGATATAATCCAAAAATCTGAGGACACAAGCTTGCTAAAATTTCATTCCTCCCTGCGAAGTATGAAAAAGGTAATAGATTAATATACTTTGATCTCTCTCTTTCTCTGACATACATACAATTCCACGTATTGCTCTATTTATTATGCTGTCCTTGGTTTAAACTGAAAAATGATCAGTAAAGTCTCTTTTGACTTGATTTCCAGAGATCTTGCTGATTTTTTGAACATCTATATAATTTTCAAGGCAACATTGCCATGGTTTCCTCCTACAACACTTTTTCAGTTTTTCAATCTAGATAATACTGTAATCTGGGGTGTCCTATCCAAGTACTAACCACGCCTAATTCATCTTAGCATTTATATAGATGGTTTAGAAATCACTGATGTTTTCTTAAATTTCATTTTGACTCAGTTATAGTAAAACAAACCACTAGATCCAATGCTTTTTATTGGATAATTTGACAGAGATAACAGGGTGAAAGTGTTTTTTCTTTAAATTTATTCATTGATTTATTGAATCATTTCCAGATGTTTAGAATGACAACTCCCATCATTCCTAATCATTTTACCTTAACTTGGTCTAATGAACTGGATTCCAGTGAGGTGGGCAGCATAGAAATTTAATAATAATGAACAGTAGTTGAAAACATCTGGCAGATAACACATTGGGTAAAGCTTTAATATTCTAAAAGGATAGAATTAAAAATTCTAAGAAAGATTCCAGAGATTATTATTGGTCCTTAAGAGTTCTACTCCGGTTGCAGAATTCTTACATCAACAAAAGCTTTCCTTTCTTCATTTAATTGGAAAAAGGCACAATAATGGAATAGGTGTCTCCAGTGAAATGAACTGGAACTTCTACAACAACTCTACACGTAATTTAGGAAGATACATAGAATTCTGCTGTTTGATGTCTCTTTATACATCAACCCAACCATATATAGCATGGTTAAAATTTAAGACGCCATGCTTTAAGCTAGTTACCCACCATTCTTTTTGTTAAAAAATTACTATTCTTATCCCCTTTTTCTCATTTAATTTAATTATTATCTATGAAGCTCCCCATCAGATTTTAGAGAGCATGGAATACAATTTGATTATAAAGGATAAAATTGGTGCATTTTAAGAGCAAGCTGTCCGTACCAATTTTTAAATTTTTTTTCCAAACCTGCTAAAGGGTCATTCCTGTGTCTTTCCCAAAAATCTTTAAATTCTTTGCGAACATCCTCATCAATTGTGATGCCTGTAATTTGCTCATTGTTGACTTGAATATAATTGGCCTTCAAAACAATCTCTACATCACAGCGGGAATCCTGGTGAAAAGGCTTCCATCTTTGCATCACTACTCCATAAACTGTAATGTCATCACCTAAAGGAGATAAAAACAAACAAACATCAAGAAGTGTCATAAAAATTTGGCACACATTAATATAGAAGCTTTGCCTGTTTGTAATGTACATGTCATGTTGTTTCATTGCTATTATTATAATTATACTGATGTTACAATGTGAAATGCCGTTGTCTTAAGTAACATCAACTCACGTAATTATTGGCATTTGGGAACATAATGATCTCATATGTCATGCTAAGCCCTGTGTTAATTTAGCACATTATTGTTTACTCTAACAGGCTATACTTTTCTAGACAATGTCCATTCCAGGATTCTAAAGGAATTCAAAAACTTTTTGAGTAAAAGTGCTAAGCTGCTCACCATATATGCTATTTCTTACAAAAGTTAGGAATCCTTCCACAAGGATTAGAAAAAAGACCAATATAACTCAAATCTTTAAAAGGAGATAGAGAAGGAATTGAGAAAATTACAAAGCAGTTACTTTGAAACCTGTTTTGGATGAACTGAAGGAGTGCCTTCCCTTGCATGTACCTACCCAGACCTTACTATCTTCCGAGGCATCTCTCCACACCACAGGAGGTGAAGTGGATGGTAACAAGGCGGACAGCCTTTTCTGTGGTAGCACTATTTATGCAACACTTCCCAGGGAGTCTCAATTGATCCCTATGTTAGCATGCTACCATCAGGCTTTTAATTATATTTGGTGATGACCAGCTTCCTTAAGTTGTGTAATGTCTTTTGTATTTTATTTTATTGGATATGTTTTAACACAAATTGTAATTTCTCTCTTTGTGTGTGTGTGTGTGTGTGTGTGTGTGTGTGTGTGCGCGCGCTTATTATAAATCCAGAAAGCTCTGGCTATTGGACTGTTTAAAAAATTAATTGCAGGAAAATGTTAACAAGTAAGCACATAGAAGAATCTACAATCCATTCCCCCCCACCCACATTTGCAGGCAATTAACATTTTCTTTTAAATCTATATGAAAACATACAGTAGAAAATACTGTTAACTGGGAACAATATTTTGAACAGATCAACTCAAATTCTGTGGAAAGGTGTTAGCATAGAAGAGCATGTATTGCAATGCCTTCGTTATTGAAGAATAGTTTTTTTTGAGACTTGGAAACTTTAAACACCAATCATCATATGATTAGAAGTTTTGACCTAAGACAATGGCATTTCATGTTATACAATCAGTAAAATTGTAACAAGACATGTACATTACTAGTAGACAAGAGCGCGTTTAAAATGTTAATTTGAATTCTTTAAGTAATAATGCTTAAAAATGAAGTTATTTTCCCAAAGAATCTGTCACAGAACTCACCAGATTTGCAACCATCAACTAAATCATCTTCAAGGACCACCATCATAGAACGGGGAATATTACCAACAGAAAGCCTTTGAACCTGGACAACATAACATGTATTTATTTTATTGTAAGGTTAGCAAATACAATTAAATTTATGTAAGTTACCAGATGAAAACCAGTGGCCAACTGTATTGGCCACGGGTCCAATACAAAAAGTATGATCAACTAGAAATAAATAGTGATCAGCGTGTGGGTATTCAGACACGCAACTGTTTAGAAATCTGCTTTCATTTGATTTAAATTTCTATTAGAGTCTATCTTATAGAAGTTTCTTCAGAAGCAGATTCCAATGTTGGTCTGTGACTGTAATAAAAATTGAATGATTGATTCAGAAGCAGATTTCCTTGCATTTACACTCCAGTTAGAAGCATGCTTGCCCTCTGAGAGAATAACCAGAATGGAATCCTTTCACCCTATAGTCCCATAAATCTGCTTTAAAAGCTTTGGGTCCTCCAAAGTATATTTATGGGATACAAGGATATAGCAGAAGGGGAACAAAAAGAGCCCTTAGATGTGACTTTATACTTCCATCGGCTAAGTTCCCTATGAAACATTTTTCACATAATGGAAAAGGCAATAGTAACATGGAGAAAGAATCTTACATGGCTTCTACCTTTTACCCAGTAAATCCCTCAAGAAATGTATAGCCAACCAAATCTGTGTGAACATATTTTTTTTACAACCTGCTCTTGAATCTTTAACTCTTGATAGTCTTTGCATCTACTGGGAGCACAGGATGTTCCAGAGAGACAAGTGAACTTTGAGGAGGTGCAACCTTCTTTCCCAGGGCAGGCTGATGGACGGCAGAAGGCATAATATTGTTCAAAGTCAGCCTTGACCACAAAGATGTGCTTGCATTTGTTGCAAATGTAATCCCGCTCAAATTCCAGGACTTTCACTAGGCTGGTCCGAATAACCGTGCCAGTGACTGACAAGAAATGCCCTACGTCTCTAGTCTTCGGGATGTGTTCTCTCGTTAGTTCTGGGCACACAGGTAAACCTGGTGAAACAACAAACAAACAACAAAGAGAGATTATTTCATTGGCAGTTTCCACTAGCTCTTAATTTTGATTTAGCAACTTGGTTCACACTTTTCATTTAAGTGTGGAGGGTCAAATACAGGGGACCAAGTACTTTCTTTGGCTAACATGCTAAGACTTAAACAATCATTTAAAACTAAAGAGGCTGGCTACACATAGCATGCTGAGCTAAAACCAAATGAACAAAATAATGGATTTGTATAATCTGTAAATTCAATGTCTAATCTGATGTTGAAGAAGTCTGCTGATCATTTTTTATGCATCTCTTATTTAAGGATATATTTATCAAAAATTATAGAAACACCACCTAACAATATTTTAGTTTTCCTACCCAAAATTTCAACAGCAAACATTAAAGAGACTCAGAATCAGAAAGGAACTTGCTATCATATAAAAACAATAGACATAATATATAATTTTTAGTGGGTTAATTCATCTGAAATTACTTCATAAAACAGAATTTTTAAAACAAAAAAAAATATTTCATCAGAACTGCTGCTCCTTTTTGAGGCTACCTTTTATTTCTATAGATTCAGATTATACTATACTCTTATATTAATTTTATAGATTATAAAATTAACAAGGAAGTTTTGTTTTCCCTTATTTTCCTTCCAACGTCCTTTCCCCTCTATTAATTGGCTTAAGCTATGTGACCTATTTTAAAACACAGGTTAATCATGTCAAGACAAAAAGAGATACAATGTTTCAAAGAACTACCAGCCTCTCTTGTAAAAAAAAAAAAAAGCATCAAACAAGCATTTGGAATCTAGAAATAAAATATAATCAGAGTGGATATATTTTTATATCTATTTGTCTGTCTATCTGTCTGTCTGTCCATCCATCCAATTTGTTTAACAAATTATAAGAGATATGAAGACTGACTAGGAGTGTTGACTGTTGTGAAGGAAAGAAATTAAATCACTGAACTGAAACTGGAAAAAGAGCATGCCATCAATGGTACTATAGATATAAATAAAGATATAGATATATAAATAAAAAGCCTTGGAACTGGGGAGGTATATTGAAAATTACCAGTGAAAGAAGAAAAGGAAGACAGAGTGCGCGCGCATCAGCATAGAATTTCCATAAACCATCCCAAACCTCTTGAGAAAGGACCAAGAAAAAGCATCTTGATCCCTATTCTCAATAGTCTGGTCAGCAGTTTTGCTCCTGGATTTGAATTCTGTAAATCAGCCTTTTCCAGCTAAAAATCATTCCAATTATCCTCAGCTACCAATACCAATTGGAAATTATTAAAGTTATTGTTCAAGTTTGGCAGGTGCAGTAAGACTATCTTAATGAAAAGCACAGTCTTGCTATAAAAGTACATTTACACTTGCTACATAATACAGACTTTTTACAAAGCTAACCAAGATTTGTATGAATCACAAGAAATGCAATTTACCTGATACTCTGGCATGGAGGTTCTGTTTAATGATGAATTCCTGAGCTTGGGAAGCTGACTGACATACTGTCGCAGCTGCTCTACGCAATGCATTATCAAAAATAGGAAGCACTTCATTAGGGAATGCATTAAAATATTCACCAATTTCCATGTTGGTTTCAAAAAGTGTCAATGCATCAACAATAACTGGGTAATGGGCATCATCATCTTTTTCCCTTAAAATCTGCAAGATGTCATTTTGGTGATATGCCAGAATATATGATTCAAATACTTGTCCAATCAGGTTTATTTGCTCTGTAGTTAAAACCATCGCAAATCCTATAATTAGAAGAGATACAAGACAATATTAAACTAACTTAATTAAATTATGCTTCTAGCGCATTGCATAAAATTAATTTGCTTCATCATTATGTTTCAGCTCTTCCCCTGAATCCTTGCTCTCTATTTTGCTTCCTTTCTTGGATAAAACCTTTTTATTGTCTCCTGGCCAGCACATTTCAATGATAATATTTATGTCCATACCCTGTATGTATATATGTATTTAATCAAATTATATGGCTCACAAATTTGACTCAGAAATGCAAAAGTTGTACAAATCAAATAATAATCAAAGGTAAACATACTATAGCAGCTGAGGAATCAACTCATCTTGGGTTCAGTTGGCATATTAGTACTTTCAAACAATGTTTATTCATGTACGGAAGGGCAGAACTTCAATGATCTTCTCAGGGTCACAGTAAAAAAAAAGTGTTCTTCTCTTTGAAAAAGGGTTCTTCCAGATGAATAGCTCCTGATGGTAACCAAGAAAAGGTCTTATAACTTATCCTTCTTGCTGAATTTATTTAGATAAGAGAAATAACAGAATTGGGGGGAACTACGAATGAATTATTATTGATAGCTGGATCTCCTGTAAAATTCTGTGATTCTATAAGAGAAATCTAGTTTGGAAGAGCTTCAATTTTTAAAAGTTCTTTTTTATATTTCTGGTTTTTAAAGCGTTGAAGTTTCATAAGAAACAGTATAACAGAGCAGTAACTCCAGAGTAGGAAGAAAACATTTCTTGTTAACAGAAAAAAATATCAAAAAATTGGAAACATTCCTAATTTGCAGACAAATAAATATATGTGAAACAGTGAACAGAAAAAAATCCTCTTACTCCTCAGGAATTAGGCGGAATTAGGCACTAAAAACTGTTGCTTTTAGTGTGATTTCAATCAGATCTTCATGAAAGGATCCCTGAGCATTCTTGTGAGCATTTAGTAGCTGTAGAGCCATATTAAAGATTGTATCAAGCCTTCCACAATAATCTGGCCAACAGAAGCAAAAAAATAGTTTGTTAGATTAACTGCAATTTCAGACCCAGTTTTTGTTTATCTCTGCTGCTCCCTCTGTTTTCATTTTCATTTCAATTATTGGATTATCAACTTGCAACATTTAGTTTTAATTTTATTAAATGTACTCATTTTAGTGCTTTATAATTACTGGTCTAACCAGCTACTTATATTATGCCAGGCATATTTAAAATCAAATAACGAGGGGAAAAAAGGTATTTTCCAGGAAATCAGAAAAGGAGATCTACCAAACTGGTAAAAAAATAATTCTGAGAGGAGTCCTGAATGCAGTATAGTATGGAACAACTAAATATATAAGAATGTGAACTAAACATTTCGAAAAGATTTTTGCTCCTCCCCCAGTTTTTAGAGTTCAATCTTCAGGTGAGTGTGGTTTGTTTCTATATGTGTACGTGTGTAGGTGTGTGTGTGTGTGTCCCAAGGCTGCATTTGGCGCAAGTTCCGCTCCAATTTAGCCTTCTGAGCTCAAATACATTTCTCCCCCCAACCCCAACCCCCAGCCTTCCATCCTTCCGAGGTCAGTAAAATAAGGACCCAGATTGTTGGGGGCAATATGCTGACTCTGTAAACCGCTGAGAAAGGTTGTCAAGCACCGTGAAGCGGTCTATATATCTAAGTGCTATTGCTATTGTAGAAAACCCGATTAGAGAATCAGAAGTGATGTGGGCGGGGCTGAAGGAGGGGCGGGAAAGCCCCGAGCGGCTAAATTAAGAGGAAAGGCGAAGTTTGGCCCTCAAGTTTCACGCCGGCGGGTTAATGCGGGTCGGCGAAGGAGAAATAGGGGGCCGCGCTACAAAAGTGGAGCAGCGCGAACTCCCCCGGGGCGCGACGCTTCCCTCTCACGCCACGCGACTTACCATCCGCATGGCGAAGCTTAGAGCTGGCGGGAAAACCTTTTACCAATCTGGCGGCAAAAGGGAGCGGCAGGAACCAGCCGGCAGGAGGAGAAGGAGGAGGAGGCGGGACCGGCGAAGATTGGCTCCTCTCCTCCGGCTCCGCCGCTGGATGACAGGCGGGGAAAGGGCGGGCGACTTTCTTTTTCGGACTGCTGGGGCGCCGACGCCGTCGATCTGTCTGTGCTGCCCCTGGGCGCGAGGGTGGGATGGGTGGGGGGCGACGATTGGCCAAGCTGAGTATAAATGAAGCCCTTCGAAGAAAAAGCGCCAGGCTTGCCGGCTCCGTCCTCAGTAGTTCACTTCTTTGACTGCGTTGTAATAAACTGCTAGTCCGTGAATAGGCGTGAGGTGGAGCAGCAGGTGGGCTGCAGTATTGAACTTTAAAATTGGAGACTGGGAATTGAAGCCGTCGTTAGGCAACGGGAAGCCACCGGGGTTTTGCCGGGTGGGGTGTGGTGTGGGGGGGGGGAGCAGAGCGCTGTTTCTCTTGCAGACCGGAAAGGAAAAAAAGCAGAAATTAATTATCGCTGTTTCCCCACCTCCCCGCCGCCATCTGTTCTTTATATTATTTTTGGTTCAGTAAAATTCGCTGTAGGGGTTAAGGTACCAGGAGAGACCATGAATTCTCGTCCTGCCTTGAGCTGGTCATTTTCAGAGCACTAGGAAAAAGCAGGAAGGGCAAAGCCGCTAAATCTTGCCAAGAAAACCGCAGGGGCTTGTTCAGGCAGTTGCCAGGAATCGCTGTCTAGAAGGCACAAACACACACCAAAAGTACTATAGTGCGAAGAGAGCTTTGTCGATTAAGGCACAAGGAGGAAAAACGGTGAAACCTCCGGAAGGTTAAGACTTGAATCCTGTTTTGGAAGTACGAGCAATGATCCTCATGTCCCAGGATTTTACTTTTTTGTTATCAACTGTCTTTAGGGTTCCTACTGAGTTGGTATCAGTTAATAAATACACATGCGGCCCTAGAATTAGAAGAGCTGAATATTTTTCTATTGCTGTGTCTCCGATTTTACACTGCTGTTTTTTACTTGATTTAGTTTATAAGAAGTGTTACATGAGTGCATTTTTTTGAAGAGGCAGTACAGTGGAAAAAATACTGCAGGATACAACAAACATTTCTTTCTGGGAATCAGTAGCCAGCATTTCTTCATGGGAAATTATGTCAGTCTGAGTTTATAGGCTCATGGAAAGGATTGGATGACTGCATGAATAAACAAAAAGCCTTGCAAATATTTTTGGACCTTTTCTGTACCATTAAGTGGTAGTAGTGATGGAAACTTCAGAATAAGTAACAGTAACGGAAGGGACCTTGATGGTCATCTAGACCAACCCCCTGCTCATGCAGGAGACCTGTACTAGAGATTCCAACCGTCAATCTTTCTGATCAACAAGCTCAGTCTTAGCCACTGAGCCACCTAGTCAGTCTGTTGTCCTATAATTGTCCTTGTAAAAACTTCCAGACGTTTCCTGCTTCTAACAGGTTTTTCCATTACAGTTGTATATCATTTAAAAGCCAACAATTACAAACTGAAAATGACATCTGATCCCACTGGAAAATGTCAAGTAGGGCAACTGTACAGTAAGAAATTCTAGAAGAAATATTGGAGTAGGTCCAAGATATAGGAATAGTTTGAGCATTCTAGCTTTGACAGTCAAAATGGCTGGATTTTCAAAGCAAACTTTAAAACTAGCTTTTTTCTTTTAGATGTGATAGCTTTAAGGTTCAGAAGCATTGTTTGTAGAACAATCTTTGCCAAATGTTGTAAATGAAGTAGAGTGCTTGAGTAATAAAACACAGCAATACCTGGAGGCCGTACGGATCTGGATGGGGAGGAACAGACTCAGGCTCAACCCATCCAAGACCGAGTGGCTGTGGTTTCCGACGTCCCGATATAGTCAGTTGGCGCCATCTCTGACTATTGGGGGCGAGTCGTTGGCCCCCACAGATGGGGTTCGCAACTTGGGCGTCCTCCTGGACTCGCGGCTGTCTTTAGAAGAGCATATGGCGGCCGTGGCCAGGAGGACTTTTTATCAGGTTCGCCTGATTCGCCAGTTGTGTCCCTTTCTGGATCGGGACTCGTTACACATGGTCACTCACACCCTTGTCACCTCACGCCTGGATTATTGCAATGCTCTCTACATGGGGCTCCCCTGGAGGAGCACCCGGAGGCTCCAACTGGTTCAGAATGTGGCCGCGCGGGTGGTGACGGGAGCGATGTGACGCTCCCATGTGATTCCCCCTCCTGCGCGAGCTGCACTGGCTCCCAGTGGTCTTCCGGGTGCGCTTCAAGGTTTTGGTTACCACCTTTAGAGCACTCCATGGCTCAGGACCAGGGTACTTACGAGACCGCCTTCTGCCACCAGTAGCCTCTCACCGACCAGTTCGCTCCCATAGAGAGGGGCTCCTCAGGGTGCCGTCGGCCAAACAATGTCGACTGGCGGCCCCCAGGGGGAGAGCCTTCTCTGTGGGGGCACCTGCCATCTGGAACGAGCTGCCCCCGGAGATACGGAGGATCCAAGACTTACGCATCTTCCGCCGCGCCCTAAAAACGTTTTTATTCCAACAGGCTGGTCTGGCCTAACTCCCTTTTAAATTGGCTTTTAAATTGGGTTTTAAATGTTTTTTAGATAAATTGGATACTTTTAATTTTTTGAGCCTAAATTATTTAATCTGTTTTTAATAGTTTTTAACTTTTGTATGTCTCTGTATTTTATTTTGGCTGTTCACCGCCCTGAGTCCTTTGGGAGTAGGGCGGTATACAAATATGATAAATAAATAAATAAATTCCTTCAATAAGACCTTACAAGGAAAGGAGCAAGTAAACTATCTGATAAACTATCGGTTTATGATAGTGTGATATTCCTTGTCGTGTTTTTAAAAGTTTGCAAAGTAAAAAGGTAATACAGGTAAAATAGATTTCTCAATCTACCAGTGTTTGTAGAAATGAAACTAAGAGTACAGTAATAAAACCTATGCTGTTTTCTTATAATAAATCATTTGTATGCTTTTATTATTTATTTTTATTTTATTTCCAATTTATATACCGCCCTTCTCCCTGAGGACTCAGGGCAGTGTACAGCCAGAATTAACATGAAATACAAATATTAAAAAACATTTAAAATATATATAAATTTGGCCCAAGAATTAAAAATCACAAACCAATTTAAAACTTTTAAAAATTTCTTCTTAAGCCAGCCCGGCTTGCTGGAAAAAGTGGGTTTTAAGGGCACGGCAGAAGGCACTGAGGTCTTGGATTCTCCTTATCTCTGGGGGTAACTGATTCCAGAGGGTAGGTGCCCCCACAGAGAAGGCCCTCCCCCTGGGGGTCACCAGCCTACATTGTTTGGCTGATGGCAAACAATTAAATAGATTGTTTTAGAAAGTGACACGTTGATGCCACATAATGTATGTTGTCTTGAAGGTCCTGTATGTGGCTTCAAAATACGACATTTAATACTTAAAAGCTGTGCATTAAATTAAGCTGCTGTTATAAAAGTAAACTTTTAGAATAACCCAGAAGTGCTTCCAAGAATTAAAAGAGTTCTGGAGACTAATAACTTCATTATGCATTTTTTAAATTTAAAAAATTATAAAAGGCAGCATAGCAAGAGCACTAGCATTCCAAGTTGCCATATTGGAGATCACAGTATTAGCAGAATGCTATTTACAGAACAACTTTTACATGTATAGGTTGAATGTTATAAGTTAATGTGAATAAATTGTATCGTTCAAGGATAATCGGAAACTATGAATTTTTATAGTAAATTGTTGAAAAAAATGACTAGACTGCAAGGAGAGTACTTCATCTATTTATTTGCCATCTCATATTGAAATGACTAGGCTTTTTAAAGCTCACTCTCAGCTTCCTACAAAATAGGATTTGTGAAATCTTGAAAAAGGTGCCTTGCAAAGTGTGTTGGCATGGTGATACACTCATCCTTGAGGTATTAAAGAGCCTGAGTGGCGCAGCAGACTAATGATACTGTTAAAGATAGTATTTAGCTTCCAGCTGCCTGCAATTACTGCAAGTTCAATTCTCACCAGGCTCAAGGTTGACTCAGCCTTCCATCCTTTCTAAGGTAAGTAAATTGAGGACCCAGTTTGTGGGGGCAAGAAGCTGATTTTGTATAAAATATACAAAAGTATGAAGGCTATTGCTTAATGCCTTGTAAGCTGCCCTGAGTCTCCGGAGAAGGGCGGCATATAAATAAATAAATAATAATAATAAAAAGTAACTACCTTGGGAAAGCATGTAAATCTGCTTTGAAGGCTGTGTCCCATTGCCTGAGCCATATAGTTACTTTGGTGCTATCACAGTTTGAGATGTCTGTACACATCCTGGAAACAGCTTTTGCAGTAGCCATGCAAACTTTCCAAAGGATGTGACTGTTTAATATATTGTGGAGAAGAGCTTTGCTTGTAGCGATTTGCTTTGCAAAGCTCTTTTGAATGTTTTCCATAGTTTTCATATATAAATGAGAGCAAGTTTCTATGCACTAACAGATTGGATAATACTTTTTGAAGGTTTATTAATTTGAGGACTGTATTTATAATTGGTATGGAGAAATGACTTGTGTTTTGTGATAAAGGAGTTTCTGTCCTGTAGTAAGTTGCAGCATCAGAGTAAAATATTATGCAAATTAACATGTCTTCTTCCATATTTTCAGTATAGAAGACAAGAAGTTGATTTCACTGATATTAACACTAGAAAAAGTAAAAAAAAATTGTGAACAAGAACACTAAAATAATATTATTGTTTTGAAGTTTAACATTTGACTTATATCCCATCTTTCCTTAGGAGCCTAAAATGATATATATAGTATCCTTCCATTTTCGTCCCACAAAACCATATGAAGCTGGGCTCAGAAAAGGCAACTGGATAAAAGTCATCAAATGAGTTATCATGGTTGTGGATCTACTTTAGTTTGGGAATGCCTACCAGTAGTTTTAATTCAACATGTTAGCTACAGGATTCTGGCACCGTCCACCCAATCTTTTGGTATTAAGGTAAACAAAGCATTCAATTTTAAAGAAGAAAAACATAACACAATAGTATTTTGGATCATCATTGCAAAATTATCCAGTAT